CTAACAAGATAATATGGTCTCCAAAAATTGATTGCTATTCCAGCAACAACCTCCATGTATATTGGTATAAGAATCAACTGTCATATAAGATTCGTGAATAGCCCAACTACCCTGGGATGATGAAATGGAGTTTAGAAGCTCGAAGAAACTTCATTTTGCAACAAGTCCACTATGTTTGATGCCAAAGGTTCATCATGTGCCTTATAAAATTTCCAAATCAGATCAACATGAGTTGTGGATGGGTCCAATTCAAAGCAGGCCTTCAGAGCATTATGAGCTTCTTCACCCGTAAACAAATAAGAAGGCACCTGATGCGAAAATTGAAACATCTCTTCTTTTGTGATCTTATTAACCTCCTTTGGGCCCGCTTTGAAACCAACAATTTTCAGCAATGTAATTATGGTTCAAATTCTGTGGGCACCGCTTAGCTGACCAAGAAATAGAAGAATTTGCTGCATTACCTGGAATTCCAAGCTAAATAGCCACGAAGGCTTGATGACAATTGGGACATAAAAGATTGTGATTAAAGAAAATCCTGGAGTATTCATACTGCATTCTTCAATAATCGCATGATGTCCAAAATCTGTTCAAATTGAACTGTTGCTATTTCGAGGCCCTTTATTGGACAATGTGGTGTGGGAAAATGAGCAGAAACCAATGGCAGAACTACGAACAGAATGATCTCCATTCGGTTGAGAAGCTTGGTTTCGAAAACCATTAACATTTCTCAACTGGTCATATTCCATTTTCCAATTCTTATCAGACATGAGCTTGAAAGCACTGTCTGCCCCTATGGACTTGTTCTTGTCAGGGTGTCGCTGGAGGTCTAACTTCCTGTAAATGTTTCTTCAGAAAAAAATTGCTTAACAGTCTCTCTCCACATCAATCTTCTTTTATGCTGCAAGATAAACGTCCAAAGTGGCAATCATTTGGCTTAAAAAGATCTTCTTTTATGCAGCAATAAACCTAGAAACGCTAGATCTTTGCCAACAGATCGGAGCTGGGAATAAAAACGAAACCAGGGCACGCAATCGGGAATCAAGAGGAGGAGAGATCACCAATTTAGGAGAATTCCACGTAAATGATGGAATCATCAGAACCAAACGGCCACCATGAGCAGCTCTCAGACACCAAAATTTCACCCTGAAGGCTTCGAATATTACGGAGCCGGTGAGTTCCCTTAGTCAAACACCCGTCAGACCCAAAACAAATAATACATAAAGACCAACAGTAAAAAGGAGAAAAAGTAAAAGGAAAAGGTCACAGCCTTATATATATATTCTAAGAAGCAAAATTTTACCATTCTATCCTCTACATTCTAATTACAAGGTGTGATTTGTCAATAATAGGATTAAAAACCACTTTAATTAACAAAAGATCAAATATAATTCAAAATAAAAATTCCAATACATAATTACACAGCTACTATGTGAATGAGTACTATTGCTTTAGAGGATGTATATAATCTCATGTGAAGCATTTCAAACTAATAAATATCCATATAAGTCCCTGCATACTATGGAAGCATTGAAACTTTGACTTGTAATACAATGAGTTTGGAGTAAGGATATGAAGTAGGTTAATGGCTTCATGGGTTTTGTGTACCCCTTGTTGACGTCATTAATTTGGAGATATCTCAAGAACCATTCAAAGCACAATGATTTCTTAGTTGAGCTACTTCCTGGCAGGACCCATATCTTTGCTTGCTTAATGTTTATGAATAAACATCATTTTTCCAGCACCAAAGATAATTCTGTAGATTTAATGTTTCATGTTGTTGCTGATGAAGGAAAGGAGTAATCCAACTTTTCTTTAGCATCACCAATCACTGAATACCATGTGCTTCCGACAGGACAACTCTGCCCACATAACTCTCTCTCCTTAAAGCATGGAGACTCCATTTTGTACTCCAATAATCTACTAAACACAAATGGTGGAATCTCTGTTTAATCTGGTTGCTGGCCCTGATTGAACTTACTAGAATAACTTCATCCAGAAGTCTGATAAATAGAGAAGCCAACTCTTTCACAATTAGCTTTCCATGATCTGCAGTATTTGCAGTAAAGATTGTAGCTGGAAGATGTAGTTAGTGTGGTGTAACCACTTGTGCCTTATAAAAATGATTCTCTTTTCAAGTTGACCTGGTGCAATATTTTAAGCAGGTGGAGTTTTCTGTTGCATCAGCTGGAAGTGTATACTTGTAGCTCTCCATCTTTGATGCTATAGCAGATTGCTGCATGATGAACTGTTCTAAGTCAAAACCCAGTAATCAACAAAATGAAGTAGCTTTTTCCCAGTTTAATATAAGACCCTGTGACAGACATGAATCAGATCTAGAGAACAGGAATGGAAGTTGAAATCATCATAGGAACCGGAAACGCCAATGCAGCATTATTAACATTTCTATCATTCATATCCCTGACAACATCCAAGTCAGATCAATAATGAAATCACAACACAACTATAGTTGATATCAGAAAGTAGAATGAACCTTTTCTGAAGCATGGAGGCTATTCAATACAACTCCGTGATGGCAAGAAGATCGTGTGGTCTTTACAATTTTGCATTGCTTCTTTAATTCTCCAGTACATTCTACTTATATGAGAACTAGGAAATTGTTGAAACGGACTGCCACCAACTTTGGCAGCACTAATATATTTAAACTACTACAGGGGTTTTGAATTCAGCAGTCTCATTATAATGCTAATCATCATATGAAAATTGGATATGGATCATCTTTTCTTAAATCCATACTTTTTACGTTCATAGAACAGATCGGTCTTGGCACTTCCCAAATTAACAATCTTGGGACACCCATCACGATCTTTTTCCTGCTGAGTGCATTCTTTGCAATAGTAAGCATCAGATATCCCGACTCCACCACATATTACACACCTTCCCTGGAATGATCCATAGTTGCACTCATCACACACACGTACAAGGGTGCATGGGCGAACATAAGAGTCACAGATGACACACTTCCCATCACATTTCTCACACAAACGACCGATGGCTATCCCTGGCTGCTTCCGACACATGATGAGATCAGGATGATGCTTGGCCATGATCCTTTAATCACCCAAAAGTTCCTGGACAAACAAGAAAAAAAATTAGAACCGATTCCTCATCTTTTGAGTGTGATATATTTTTTTTTCTCAATATCTGAGGGGAGTCTAAACTTCTAGAGCCGAGATCAAGAAAGCCATAGAAAAACCATCAGTAAACACTTTGTTTTATTATCTGTTGTTTCCATTTTTCATTGTGATATTGCCTCAGAAGACAGAACCTTGTCATTCAAGCATCACCAATCAACACAATAAGAAATATAACTATTCAGTTCAAGTATCATAAAGATAAAAAATAATAAAAGATTACCATAAAAGATCAAAAGTTTCTTGACACCCAAGTATCTTTGCCAATGAAAATACTAGAGGATAAAATAAGCATGTCCATCAAAGGATCATAACAGACTACGATCTAAATCCTTGATGTTATCCCCAAATTCTAAGTCGGGGTATTTTTATAATCTGAGTTAATCTCTAAGTAAAAAGGAACTAAAAACAGAGTTAACTACCACTATATATATCTCATCACCCTTGCCTCGACCATTGTTTCAATGGAAAGATGACTACGGAAAAGGGTGAAGCAGACAAAAAGACACGTCTAAGAGAAAGATTGATAGTGATCCATTTCCTTTGACCTTATCTTGAATTTAATTTTTTTCTTATCATGGTATTAGAATTACATGAAACATATTCATATTCTACGATTTCGATAGGTTACAAGTACCATGATATGGTTGTTCTATAATGATATATCTTATATAAAAAATATAAAGAAAGAACCTTTTTAATATGTTTTCACTTTTGATTGCATCCCACTAATTCAATATGGTGTGTGAACTGAGATGAAATCAAGAGAGAAAACATTATACATAAATCCCTACCAATGTCCCTCGTAGGTGATACCCCTCTGTTATCTTCAAATCTTTTCCATAGTTAAGCTGTGTGACTCGCGATGATGATGATAAGGAGGAAACAGTGATGAGGTACATATAGAGGAGGCAGCTAACTCTAATCCGATACCTTACTTTTGTTAGACATTAACTAAAATTACAACAATGTCCCTAGTTAAAATGGGACTGGAATCAGCAATTGCAAGAACCATCACACATCTATACAGACCACAACAAAAGAGTCATCATGATCCATCTCACATACTATTGTGGATATCAAGGAGCTATTGAAGCACTTTATCTCATACACAGTTATACATTATTCTCAAGAATGTAACTAAGCAGCTAATTGGGCCGCTATAACAGCTAGGATAGACAAAGTCTCTCATATGGATGGATTCATTCCCCCATGAACTGTCATCTCTTTTGTATAACGACCTCCACAGGTCCTTTTGTAGAACTATAAAATCATAATTGATATTCTTTTGCCAAAAAAAGAGTATAATGATTATTCAAGATAAAGATAAGCCATAACTGATCATGTTGCAAGAGATGTCTAAAAATATTAGAAAAAATGTAAAAAAATACATAAATATCTCTTAGAGAAGATTATGGTTTGTGCATAATGTGATCTCCTTGAGATTCAAGTCAAATGGGGATATCACACTTGATTATAACTTCATCCTAACTTCTCTGATGGTTTAAGGTCTATTATTATGGGTATGAGAATGTTTGTTTTAAAAAACTTCACAAATTTTATGTGTTTTCTTTTTGTTGAAAATACAACTCATATTCCAAAATTTCCACACTACTTAAGACCATCTTGTCCTCTCTCTCTCTCACATCAATAAAAAAAATTTCAACCCAAAAACCATCTTGTCTAAATAAATTGAAATCTAGGTCAAAACTTTTGCAACTACTTTAGTAACGTCCGACGGCTCTTTTTCCACATATTTCCTAAGAACATCATCGGCTTTATTCTCAAAATATCATGCACGAAGAAGACAAGAAATATATGGCATCTCAATAAACGGTTTCTTGAGAAAGAAAAAAAAAAACTAATACATAAGCTGACTCGAGAGATATCCCACAGTAATTATTCACAGAGCGGAAGATCCAACCTTGTGAACCATACTTGTAAATTCAAGATTTCAAAACCCTAGGTTAACATAGGGTTAACACTTAAAAGAATGAGACCAGACAAATTATTGTCAACTACAGTATTATCCAACAACTCTCTACGAGATTCTTTCCATGTTTTCTCTAAGGATATTATATGTTTTATTCACTGCAAAATCACAAGCGTGGCAGAGAAGAACGAACAGAGTACAACTCCATCACGAGATCTTTGGAACCAACGTATGAAACATATCAAGAAACGGTACTTTGAAAAAAATAACTATGACATAGGCAAATCAAAAGAAAACTCGCAGAAATTATTATCAGGGAAAAAGATCCAACCTTATAAACCACACTTCTTAATTAAAGATTTTGCAGCCCTAGGTAAACACTCGAGAATGAGACTCGAAGGAAAACCCAAGTGCAGCAGACAAGAACGGGCAGTTATGACGCCGTAATGAAATCTTTGAAAAGAACATATGAAGCATATCAAAGACGGTTTCTCCAGAAAAGAAAAAAGAACCAAGGCATAAGCCGAATCGAAAGATGTCTCACAGATACTATTCACAGAGCGGCAGATCAAACCTTACGAGCCACACTGTTTGAAATCTTTGAAACGAACAAATGGAACGTCTCAAGAAACTGTTTCTTGAGAAAACATAACGTAGGCCGAATCGAAAGACGTCTCACATAAATTATTCACAGAGCGGCAGAACCAACCTTGTCAACAAATTCAAGATTTCGTTACCCTATGTTAACACTCACAAGAAGTATTGAGGCCAGACAAATGCAAATCTTAGAAGAAAAAGGAAATCAGAGGAGGGATCAATAAGGAGAAGAAAAGGACAAGATCTGGCCGAAAGGAAATTTTCCGTACCTCGACCGTCAATAACCCTAGAAGAAACCCCCTCGAGATCGGCTCCGCAAACCTCTCGATTACTCGATTGACAAGGACCCTAATTGGCGTCCGGTGCTCTTCCGGAAGCATGTATTATTAGGTGCTCTGACAAACGTGGCTCTCTTTAAAAGGCTCTTTTTGTTGTTGGGCCGACTCACAGTCGGTGCAGCTCCTGGCCTAGTTTATGTTATACGCTTCCGCGGGGCACGACAACAGAGCCTTCCGCGTTGAATTGGATTAGCATTGGGTTTGATTTGAATCGAGAAATTGACATTATTTATTTAATTGTTAGATAAGGATATAATGAAAGGCAGATATATGAATATTAAATATATTTAATATTTTCCGATAAATAGATATTATTAATTCAAGAATTTTGTTAGCACTAAAACAATTTTAAGGGTAGGTATTATAAGTGTTAAATAATTCGAATTAAATCGTGACGAGTAGTATGAAAAATCATAAGTTGAGTCAAATATAAAAGAAAACGATAAAAAGGGCACATTTTTCCGAGTGCGCTACCGCAGGCGAACGACTTCGCCGCGTCATCGCGAGGGGGGAGAAGACAAGGGGGGGAGAACCTCGATCTCGAGGATCGCGCACTCACCACGAGGCGAAGCACTGACACTGTCTCCCCCTCGCTGTCTCCTTGGTTTCCCCTTTTCTCTCCTCACCTGCTCTGATCTCTCTCCGCCGACACGGTCGCTCGACAGAGAGGATGGCGGACTGGGGGCCGGTGGTGGTAGCCGTGGTGCTGTTCGTGCTGCTCTCGCCGGGGCTGCTGTTCCAGATCCCGGGGAAGGGCGGGAGGTTGGTGGAGTTCGGCAACTTCCAGACCAGCGGCGTCTCCATCCTCGTCCACGCCGTCATCTACTTCGCCCTCATCACCATCTTCCTCATCGCCGTCGGCGTACACGTCTACACCGGCTAAAGCCATCGTTTGGTACATTACGTACTGTCTCACGCTGTCATGCGCGTCCTACTATCCTTCGTCTTCCTCATGCCTCTTGAGTCAAATGATGCGTACTTGGACATCCCTGTGATGGTTCCTTCTTCATGCTTCCTCTCGGGATGGACCAAAACATAAACAATGAGCATTGTATCACAATATTTCTATCCATTAGGCAGCTGGTTGTTCTTCTTTTTAAGGTACATACCTTCTCTTGAATCATCCACTGTTGGTAGCTCAGGCTCATTTAGACCCAGAATCAAGAGATATATACACGCGCTCACACACAAAGAACAGCTGCTGGCAGACAATTGCAACAAGATACAAGGAGAAAAAAACAGAGGCGGCTGGAAGTGATGCCCTGCAAATTGCTCCTTGAATCCTTGCCTGGATATCATCTTCACCAAATCCCCTCTTCATTTCTGGATCTTAGCAGTATCCAAAGAAGAATTTAGTCTCCATAGAGGGGCTTCTCAGACTGGCTGAGGAAGGAGATGCTGCTGCCTGCCTCGGGCGGGAGAACGTCGACAAGGGCATTGGAGTGGCGGTGGAGGGCGACGGAGGCCGATAGTTTGAGGAGCTCGCGGTTGTTGGTGCTGAGGATCCGGACGTAGTAGTTGGAGCCGGTGGGGGATCCGACGGTGGCGTTGTTCTGGTATACCAACGACGAGGGGCACGGACTGGATCCGCTTCATCTCCTCCTGGGGCGCTTCAGATTCTTCTGCTCGTCCTTCACGTACTCATCCTGGATCTCGATGAACTCCAGCTGGCGCTGCAGGGACATCAGGCGCCCGTAGAGGTCGTCGTGGTCGTCGTCGTCGCCATGGAGAGGCGCGGAGGCGACGATGCTAGCCGGAGGAGCGGGCGGCGAGGGCTTCGCGTCCACAGCCACGGTGGTCATGGCGAAGCTTGGAGGAGACCCTCTTACGATAAAAGGGTTTCCGAGATGAGTCGGTTGGTAAAGTGGCGTCGGTTTGACTCGGTAGTCCGAGTTAGTGACTCAATAACTCGTGGGATCCACTTCCCTTCGCCAATCGGGTCCCTCTTGCTGCTCTATAACCGAACCAAGTGCTAATTAGGCAGTTCTGATTAAGTTTCTTGCGTCTGCGGATGTAGTCGAACCGGATTGTGGATCCGAATCCAGATCAGAATCCGATAAACTTGCAGATACTTTTGATGATGAGAACAATAGCAGGCTAATTGGGCCAAGGTACCTTCTTAGCCCAGCCCATTTAGGGAGCTAATCTGTATGACATTGCACTCAAATCTACACTCGGTCCCACATTTATTAGCATCAAACTTGTGAATCAGAGCATTAATCAATCGAATTTATAAAGGATTAGAATTTAATTCATTTAACGTGACATATTACACAAAATGTGTAAGCAATCATTCCCAAATAAATATTTACATGCATATACAAGAATATATATATATATATATATATATATATAGAAAAATTATATATTGAAGAAATGACCAACTAGATGTGTCTTTTGAGTGTAACATAAAAGAAAGCATTGCAGATCACCAACCATTGATTATTGTGGGCTCTTCCATTTGGTCAACTTTGGGGCAGTTTGGCAAGAGAGAACACCTTCAACAGTAGAAATCATCTCCACCAAAGGAGCAGAAGGGAAAAAGAAGAAGAATCACAGGAGACAGAAGGGCAGCATCTCTCGAAGAGATTGCAACAAAGATACAAAAGCCATGAATGAGGTGGTAAGGTGGACAAGGGAAAGGCACAAGATGATCCCAAAGAAGGCCATCATCGTCATCTTGGTAATCTTCTCAGCCTTGTCCTTCCTCAAGCTCTATACCTTAGCACCCACCATCTCAGAGTATGAGACTCCTTATGTATCCCACAAGATTAGCCACCATGACTCTCTTCCTACTGAGGACGCACTCGGCCCGAAGGAGTACCAGCTTCTCTCCAATCTTATCTCCAGGAGAGCCCCCTGCAACCTTCTCTTCTTTGGGCTCAAGCCGCAGTTTCTTGACCTAGCTGCACTGAACACTGAAGGCGCTACCATATTTCTGGAGGATGATTCAGAGAAGCTCAAGACTCAGCTGCCCAAAGGGATCGGGATCTACCTGGTGAAGAACCATGAGAAAGCTGGCAAAGGATTTGAGCTGCTTGAACATGCCCGGAAGCACCCTTCTTGCAGGCTGCAGGTGGGTCTGATCACTGAATCTGGGTGCAAGCTAGCACTGAAGGGGCTTCCGGAGGTAGTATACGGGAGGAAATGGGATGTGATTGTAATCGATGGACCGAGCGGAGACCAACCTGAGGCGCCAGGAAGGATGGGGACGATCTACACAGCAGCCAGGCTTGCACGCATGGGTGCGAACGCCGATGTCTTTGTTCATGATACTGATCGCATGATCGAGAAGTGGTACTCATGGGAGTTCCTGTGTCATGAGAATTTGGTCTCTTCCAAGGGGAAATTGTGGCATTTTAGGGTTGCAGCTCACTCCGGTTCTGATAGGTTTTGTTCCCAATCTGCAGTTCAGATACTGTAGGTGAGCTTATCCAATTGATTTGAAGTCACAGTCTTCATCAAAAGATCTTGGCTGCTAAGGGATTTCCAGACTTTTTGCTAGGTATCAGCATCCATCAAGTAGGTGTTGACTTTGATTCTGCTTGTGGATGGCTCTATAAGTGAAGTTGAATGAGATTTATCTCATGTCAACTAAATAGAACTAGCCAGAGTATAACAAACTTGACAAGTTGATATAGTTATTCTAGTTTGTGTAGTCTTGGTAGCTCAAGAACAAAGAGAGATTCTAGCAGCAATTCTAGATGATGAGAGCAAAGTTCTAATTGCAGACCATCAGTGTTTATGGTAGAACCTCTTTAGTGCAGGAACAAAAAGGACTCAAGAGTAACGAGACTAGGAGCCAGGTGATCTTTTGTTCATCAATTGGTGTGAGTACACAATGAGCAGGTTGATAGATAACAGCCAAGATTGAAGAAACAAAGATGTTTGACGAATTGTCGGAACTAGCAGAGAGATTTATAAAAGTTTATAATGTCTGACATGAACTCTGGGAATTTAAGGCCAAGCACAGAAGTTAAAGATGGGTTGACCCAGTGACAAGGCAGCGATAGACATGGTGCAGCTTGGGAATACTATTTATGTGAGGTGTGCCTTGAATTCAAACCTGCACCAGGCCTGCTGTCAATTTGGAAAGAAATCAAATTGGTTAGTTGTGCTTCCAATTTTGGCAGTTCGTCTTATCTTGGATTTTGCAGTCTGTTCCATTTTCTGCTTAGGGTTTCTTTGCAGCTGTTTTCATTTACTTCTGCTATTGTCAACTCATCTCTGTCTTTACTCCATATGTGGCTTAGGAGCCGAACCACATAAGTCTTTGTGTTATCAGATTTCTTGCACTTCTCTCTTTGTTCTTCTCTATTTAATAACAATAAATTTGCGTGATATAGAAACATCCTTCTCATTTTATCCTATCATCTATAGAAAACTGTTGTTCAGTTCTCTAATCGAGAAGATTAATAGTTGTGACATTTCAAACTGAATAGAAGCCATTAGTTCAAGTGAACATTGGAAGAAGAATGAATTGAAAGAGCATCATTGTCATAAGCACATATCAAGCACTAAATGTGTTTTTCTTTTAAAAAGGAGGGACTTGCAACTTTCACTTTGCGCAAACTTACAGGATCGAATGATGATACCGCAACAAAAACATGGAGATGTCTCCCTTTACAAAGCGTACCTACTTATCAAGGCTGTAATACTTAGAAATGATGAGCATCATAATTCTAGTGCAAAGTATGTGCACATTAAGAATAGATTAATGAGATCTGCTCATTGTTTTCTTAGTGACGACAACTAGATAATGTTAACTAATTGCAGCTTCTGTTCACTCTTTTTATGGTCCTGCAAACCATGTAGCTTCAATAGTCATTCTTTCCATGAAGTAGCAAGTCGTATTAGTATCACATAATTGGTATATGAACTTGAAGTGTATAATTAAAAGTACAGGAAGGGTATATTCTTGTCACATAAATTCATACTCTTTATGTTTCAATCGATGCTACTTGATTGTTACGGCAAAACAGTTTGAAGTCAGAACAGCATGGTCTAAAATGTTTCAGAAGATGCTAGAACTTGATCTTCTTATGGTTAGCTTCAATATCTTGATGATGTTTCTACTTTCTATTAACTAAATCCAGGTGCTACATCCATCATATACAGTTTGACTAAGATCAAGTAGATTTGATTTGTATATTGTTCAGCATGATACTCTTAACTCTGGCACCTCAAAGCAGATCAGCATCCAAGGTTTTTTTAGTTTGGTATAAGTCAATGTTGGAAAACACAGGAGAGATGACTCGGTAAAACACACACTTCGATACCTCGATAAATCTAGTGCAGACAGTTCAGACAAGTTAAACCAGCAGAAATAAGTTCTTCAGGTACCTCGGTTAGCTCAGGTCTTAACTTGCAGAGGGTTTTGTTAGTTTCTAGTTTCCCCAGAAGTTTTTCACATGTTCTACTTCAAACTAGCATTTGCCACTTGGTCTTTGCATCTGAAGGTGAATGGTGTATCTTCTAGTGATGGTTGCTCTGGGCATATTCCTTGAACTTTCAAATTCCCAGCAATCATGCAGTTCATTGTCCAAATTTGTCTACAATGAATAGAGATGACCTAAACATAAAAGATCAATCTGAGAAGAAGAAATAATAAAAGTAAGATTGCATGGATCTCTAAATTGGTTTATAAATCTCATGCCATTGTTACATAATTCTGCCTCTAGCCTTTCATTCATTCATTCACACACCATGTACCATCTCAAACTTGTTTTGTTGAGAACATCATCACAGCAGCATTGTTTTTGCAAATCACATTGGGTTACAGGATGCTTGGACTCTCTTTTGGAAGAAATAAGCCTTCAAATCACATTTCAGATGGCATAGTTTAATGTCTGTTTTATTTAGGTTATTAGGTTAGTAACCCAAGTTTATGGAAGTAATTATTCTTCAGAATTATACAAGGACGTCTAGTTTCTTATGAAGTAGTTTTTACCATAAGTGAATTCTTTAACGGAGATTTACAAGTAAAAGAATACCAATTATGGTAAATTCTGTTTAATGCGAAATTATGGTAAAACGTATTGCTAAATGAGCGTTTTACCATCTAAGCTACATCTCCTATATTTGTATGTTTTTACTTAATATATTTAATTAGCTATACCTTTTGCACATAGCAAGCTATATGATGAGTGCTAGAAATTAGCAAGTGTTCAATTTTGAGTGCTAGAAATTTTATTTTAGAAGTCTTCAACGCTGCTAAAAGGTAAAAAATTACAGAAGTAATAGCAAGCAATATAATGCTTTCGTTGAGATTTGAACTCAAGACCTCCCGCTTACTAAACGGGTGCTCTAACCAACTGAGCTACGAAAGCTAGTTGTTAATTAATTCTGCTTTTATCTAAATGACATAATTCAATTATCTGCTTAATGAAGGAAGAGCAAGGAATGTAATGCTTTCATTGAGATTTGAACTCAAGACCTCCCGCTTACTAAACGGGTGCTCTAACCAACTGAGCTATGAAAGCCAATTGGTTTTAATCTCTAACTCTCATAACTTGTTTCCGAAAAGCTCTTGACGCTTTTCCCCGCGACCGAACACGCTCTCGTCCTTTTAATTTTATTATGTGATTTTCTTTGGTGGATGAGATATGATCCCAGAATGAACCGAACCGGTTGTAATTTTATCCCCCTACACGGACGAACCGAGGACAATGACGTGGAATGCAATTGTATAGAATGGAGCCAAACCAGAGTGGCAGAGTCGAAACGCATGACCGTCGAGTAAAGCATGCCACGGATTGTTTCCACTAGCAGACCCATTCAATAGTGTCTACTTACAAACCCAGATAGTTACACAAACCACAAGAACCTTCCGGATGAGATTGTTATGTAAACCTTGTACTGATTGATAACTAGAGGTCACCATACATAATCTTTCCAAAAGTATTCCAAGAAAAAAAAATTAAAAAAACTATGTGCTACTTTCAGGTACAAAAGCTGTCGGAAACAATTGGGGAGAAAGAAAAAGAAAGTTGCCGTGCAGATTATCACACCGAACACCGAACGGTACTCTGATCTCGAAGCATACCTCACCCCCAACCTGCAAACTAGAACTTGGCGATGGAGAATATATAGGGCCTTCACTCCTTTCAAATCATCATTATTCGATCAAGAAACAGCTTCACAGTTGAACTCTGAACCCTAGCATCTGTGGGAGGTGGAAAGCGTCCAAGAAACCACATTTCCAATCGTTAGGAAGGCCGAGTCGGATCCAGACATCATGTTCGATACAGTATCTGTACAAAAGGGATGCAAATGTTCCATCCGACTCAGCCAAAGCCGAACCCCTCATTGGCTTCATGGATAGCTAGAAGTAACCTCTCCTGCAGCTGTTCTTTGGAGGTGTACTCAGGCAGGTCTAATTGGTTAAAGCTGCAACAAGTACAATGTGATCCATGATCATGTTAACGCCGAGTGGGCATGAGATCATAACACTAATGGTTCATATGGCAGAAGAACACAGTAATCGAAGAACTGACAGGAAAAACAAGCAACAGCTATAACGATGGATGTTGACATAACATAGAGCCCTCTGACATCTTACATTAAGAGCATTATATCTAGCAGCACCTTCTTTATGTATACACACTACGCTATTAGAAGGCATAAAATGAAAGCCCATGCCAACAAGCTATTGGAACTGAGTGCCATGAAAAAATGACTGTGGGAGATTGAGCATTGCATCTATTGGGCATAATATCACAGGAGACAATTACTGCTACAGAACCAAAATGGAATTAACTCAAACAAACCTGAACGGCATCAATCAGATTAAACATGGTATTTCACATTAAAAAAAAAAGTCTAACCAGCAGGTGAAATAATATTCCGTCATTTTGTAAATTTTAATCCCACCCTGGTTGACTAACCCGATCCACCAATTAGGATCAAGCAGATTCCTATCTTAACCTGCCAACTTCTTACATTGACAATTACTGCTACAGAACCAAAATGGAATTAACTCAAACAAACCTGAACGGCATCAATCAGATTAAACATGGTATTTCACATTAAAAAAAAATGTCTAACCAGCAGGTGAAATAATATTCCGTCATTTAGTAAATTTTAATCCCACCCTGGTTGACTAACCCGATCCACCAATTAGGATCAAGCAGATTCCTATCTTAACCTGCCAACTTCTTACAAACTTGACCTAAATAGTGCATATGGGCAAGACAATTCTATATCTAAATTGGTTAGACACCCATATCAATCTATTTATAAATTTGTTGATTATTCTTTGCTACCTGAAACACATATAACTAACCTTTATCTTTTCAAATTGAGTAAAACACCAAGAGATGGTACGTGTTGGTTCCTTGGAAGATGTCATGCAATTGGTTTTTTCAAACAAATGAAAATACTTGAAGATTTAAAATTGCTGAAACTCTGGCTCTCTTTTGGTCCACTTATTTTCTGAAGTTCGTTAATATACAAGGAAAAAAAAACTTACCAGGTATGAGCTGAAGGCAGGTGGTGGGGGCTCCCATATGCCTTGTGAATCTGAAACCTCTGTGAGCCTGAAATTCCTTGAAGAGCACTGAAACCTTCCAGTGGGACCTGATAGAAAGGATAACAAGTTAAGAGAATCCAAATACATAAAGAATTTATTAGGTAGATATCTATGCATGTATAATAACTCATGCAAATATGAAGATGAAAAGCTTACTATGTAAAAAGCACTGACCAGTAAGATCATGTTAGTACCAACCAGCAAATCATAAATCAAATATATGGTGTTAAACAGACATGGTGCGCTCGGCGCACCTTGGTACTCCAAACCACAGAGAAATGTCAAAAACCAAAATAAGTGGAGCACATTGGTTAAAAAGAAATGCAGTGAGACAATGTCGCATCACTGACTTCAAGCTAGATTTACATTAAAAAAAACTTAACATAAAAAAAGCAATCTGATTAGATGTACGGTGATGGCTCATAGAGGTTCATACTATGAATTTTACCATGAACTAGTAGCAACAAGAAGTCAAAATGTGACACCCCAGTTTAATTCCTCATCAAACGCAAAAGGAGATTTGTGAAAGTTTATGGGGTTAGATGGGCGTACTATTATTAATTTGGGCATAAACTTTTTGAAGTATGTGATTCCAATCTATTAGATGGGTTTGTGAGAAACCATATCAAGGTTTTCCATGTAATTCAAATCTATCATATGGGACCGTGTGAAATTATATGAGCAACCCTATAACTTGGCATGATAAGAGGGCAAGTAGAATCAGTGATTTAAAAAGCGCTAGGCGCCAAAAGGCGCCAAGGTCCAAAAACGCCCGAGGCGCTAGGCGCTCGCCCGAGCGAAGCGAGGCGCTAAAATATAAAATATAATTAATTAAAATTTTAAATAAAAATATAAAAATATATAATATAATTAATAAATATAATCACATTAACAGTATAAACCTGCTGACGGAGAAACGAGGAAGCAACGGCAGCGGCGAGCGGCGGCAGCGGCGAGCGGCGGCAGCG